GACAGACAAGACAGACAGACAGACAGACAGACAGACAGACAGACAGACAGACAGACAGACAGACAGACAGACAGACAGACAGACAGACAGACAGAGACAACAGAGTGAAAGTAAAGATGAATGACCTCCCAGTGGGTTTTTTCTACCACCCGCAGAAACAACAGAGGCGCTAGAGTAAAGAAGTAGGACCTACAAGTACAAGAGTGACGCCCTCCAAACACCCATGCCGTCCAGCCGCGCGCCCTTCACAACAGACAGGCCAGTACACTAAATTGGTGCAGGCGTTTGCTTAAGCAGAACGTTGGGCAAAACATAAAAAATATGAGACCAGCGTCTGTGTGACAGCAAAAGGCGCGTTACCGGCGTACACAAAAGACCTGAGTTCGATTCCCGTGTGGGGAGAATCTTTTCGAGTCTTTCTGCTGAGATGTTGTTTAGTTTCAGTAGAGGTTTTAAGGCGCTCACAACTGCATAAGGCCATAGAGCGCCAGAAGATTACAACAGGTGTTACAAGAGAGTAACAAACATAAAAAAAGAAAAAGGGGAGATAAGGACGATAGATGTTTGATAGGAAAGAAGAAGCAAACCAAACTAGAGCACCCGCCAACCACCCACGACCAGTGTCTGTGCGACAGCAGAAGGCGCGTTACCGTCGTACACAAAAGACCTGGGTTCGATTCCCCAGTGGGGAGAGTCTTATCGAGTCTTTCGGCTGGGACGTTGTATCCCTCTCCATGTGGGTTGGCCCTGGCACGCAGGATTGATGCTCGCCTCCTAAATACGTAATTTAAATTGAGGCAATGAGGACGTAGAGACACAAAATATGAGACACAACACGAGTCACTCCAAAGACAACACTTTAGACCAAGACAAGACAGCGACCTGATAGAAACCAGCTGGTACAGAGGGGACGGATAAGGTCACCTCTGAACCCACACGGATTTGTGCTACAAACTACAGCAGGAATTAATCTTCACCCCCCCCCCCCCCCCCCCCCCCTCGATCACGCAAACTGAAAACAGTACAGAACAAGCGACTTTCTTGCAAGACGTCACAACGATCTAAACGTGTCCCCGAAGACAGTGGAGACACCAGATATACGTTTAATAGGCCAACGAAGTTCCCAATTAGGGAACGGGTGGACGTGAGTGAGTATATCAAACTGACTTTTACCGCCGGCCCAGCACAATACCCCTAGATGAAAACAAGGACAATTGTGATCCACAAAACGATTCCCATTAGAAGAAATGTTGGCCTTCCGGCAGAGTCTGTACTTTTAACTCCACATAAACGACCAGCGCGACAAATATCACGTACACACTATTAGTGTCGTAGCAAATGAATTATACATTTTTTTAAACCTAGGGGCACCTGCCAAACTATAGAAGCGGTAGAAGAAGGAATGTTATACCCCAATCGACACAACTTAAATTGGATTACCTGTCACGGCCAACCCGGGCTGGGAGAGATAGTGCGTTCCAGAGTAAGACGGCGATGTTCGAAAACATAATATAGACTCTCCCGACACAGGAATCGAACTCACGTCATCTGCGAGAGGCGTCAAAATGCCTAACCACATACACCAGAAAAATCGGTCGGCGAGGTCATTTCGTCCGATCCACCGCCATGCCACCATGTTTAGGTTTTAGTAAGAGTTTTACGGCACTTGCAATACAATAAGGTCATGTAAGTGCCGAAGAATGGAGGTGCTATAAGAGAGCAACAAACACAAAAAAGAAGGGGGGGGGAGATATACAGACGATAGATTTTTTATAGGAAAGAAGGAGCAAACAACACCAGAGCACCCTCCACAAACTCATTTCGTGTGATCCACCGCCATGCCACCAAGCACGAAGAGAAAAACAAAAACAAAAACAAAAACAAAAACAAACCAGGAAGACGTGTTCGTAGAGTGCTCGTTACTTGATCACCAAAATAGTTCATCATTTCATTAAACACTAGGGTGAAAATAAAATAAAACGTGCTTTTAAAGACGTCATCAAGTCTCTATATATATTTAATAATGTATCTGGCTCCTGTCGGAAGTTTTACTGAGACTAATATTTCATTTCTTACCACAAACGAGGATATAATGTGTTGTCTTTTCTTCATTTTTACTATTTATTTATTTATTTATTCATTTATTTGTATGTTTATTATTTATTTATTTATGTATTTATTCATTCATCCACTTATTCATTTATTAATTGATTTCTTCATTCATTCATTCATTCATTCATTCATTCATTCATTCATTCGTTCGTTCATGACCCCAGCACTACACCACAGACGCGGCAACTTCTCCCATCCACCCCACCACCCCTTGCCCCGCTTTCGGTTCGAAAGACTTACTAACTACGCACAGGCGACCGACAGGTCTTATTAACATGGACAAACTATTGTATTTGATAGGAAATTTAAATAAAATTATTGAATTTCCAGAATAACTGGAAACGAACAAGTTTTGTTTCTCTCTATATATGCATGTATTATGACTCTCTTTCCCTTTCTCTCTCTCTCTCTCTCTCTCTCTCTCTCTCTCTCTCTCTCTCTCTCTCTCTCTCTCTCTCTCTCTCTCGCTCTCTCCCTGTCGTTCTCTCTCTCTCGCTCTCTCTCTGTCTGTCTCTCTCTCATTCTTTCTCTAACGCACGCATATAGAGAGAGAAGGAAAGCGACAGAGAAAGAGAGAAAGAAAGAGAAAGAAAAGAAGAGAGAGAGAGAAAGTGGGGAAAGAGAGGTAGTAGGTAGATAGAGAGAGAAAATCATACACACACACACACACACACACACACACACACACACACACACACACACACACACACACACACACACATACTCACACACAAAATCATACATTGTGGGACCGATATAGAGGGACACGGAACTCGTTAAACAGACTAGAAACCGATTGAGACTTATTTAATGAAAAAAAAAACACCCTTAAACAAACAAATCATACGACACAGAAACAAACAAGCAGACAAGATTTTTTTCCGTTTTCTTTTTAAAAGTTATTTTTAAAAACCCAAACATAAAGATGTAGTGAAAAACAAAACAAAAAACGAAAAACAGAAAACTGTTCCCAAGTTATTGTATTACCCGTATGCACTGACAATTCTCCCCCCTTCCCAAAAAAAAAAAAAGAAAAAAAGAAAAAAAAAGGAATTAGACTAGGTAGGAACAAATCGTTCTATTTACCTACAACCTGGCTTCCAGTGGTAACTGTCATTCACTAATGTGATTTTCCTGCACCCTGCTCCAGGACCTGTAATCGCGTGAGTAGCCGGATATTTTATGTCAATATTCCCGCCATTAGTGAGTCTGTAACTGAAAGAAAAATTGAAAGGCGCACTCAATTCCTTTTTCTTTTTTTTCTTTTTTTTTTCGTTTTTCTTGTTTTATAGGGGGATTTTTTACGTCTCCCTGAAAAGAGAAAGCAGTGAGATGGGGGGGGGGGGGGGGGCAGAGAGAGAGAGAGAGAAAGAGAGATAAAGAGGGAGATATATAAGAGTAAAAATGGAGGGGGTGTTGAACGGA